GGGGAGGGGCTTCTTCCTGCAAGCAGCCTCTGCGCCCTGGACCCGCCCGGGTAGCTCTGCATCCCCCCGCCCCCCACCACCTGGCCTGCGTTCCTCCCTCTCTGTCACTTAGTTTCCTGGCCTCTGCGCCCTCGCTGCTCAAGGGCTCGGTTGAGGAAAGCTGGCATCTGGCTCCTTTACCGACTCATCCTTCAAGACCCAGCAGAACTTCTCCTCCTGGAAACCCTTTGAAACCCCCTGGGCAGAAGGAATCCCTCTGCCCTCTGGATGCCCTGAGTCCCTGGTACCCCCAGTAGAACCCCAGTAGAACGCTTACCACTCCACCTGAGAACAGGCATGTCTGTTTTTTCACAGTTTACATCTGTGAACTGGGTATTAAATAATCCCTGCTATGCAGGGCTGCTGGGAGCATGAGATGAGGCGACAGGTGCAAACGCAGCACCTGACACATAGTAAGTGCTCGATTCACACGAGCTCTTAGGAGAACAGGGCACGAGCCCGTGCCAGCCAAGGCAGGCATTCTGCCAAAGGCCCATCCTGTGTCCCACCTCATCGCACACATGGGAAAAGACCAAGAGCAGAGACCCCTTGGGTGTTTCTTCCAGCCCCTGAGCCAGCACTCATTGCCTCTCTGGTAGGATGAGTCACCCCTTGGTCCCTGGGCCTTTACCTTTGTGGAAGGAAGGTTCATGATGTCTGGAGCTCAGAGTGAGGTAGCCAGGAAAGGAGATGGCAGTGGTCCAAACAGCCTGGAACCATTGACTGTGACCTGCTACCAGGGGTTGGGGTTTATAGTGCTCCGAGGTGGCAGGGAAGGGACGGGCACTTGCGTCCACTCTGGAGCCAGACAAAGGCAAGTCTAAGATTAGCAGCCCGCAGGGGGGCCGTCTCCAGGCTGGGCCCGAGGAATGACTGCTGAGGCGCTCTGAGGCCCGGGTCTGATCACTGTGCCCCTGGTCCCCCCCTTGTCTGTCTGCCTGCTCCCTGGAGATGGGGCGGTCTCCGGGCACTAATGAGGCCACCTAGCACCCAGGAATCTGGAACACAAAGGAGGCCTTGGCTGGGGCGCTGGCCTGGGACAATATGGGGGGGGAGTTGCTAATTAGGGGCGGGAGAGCAGGCAGTGGTGAGACCCACAAGCCTCATTGTCAGGGAGGTTGACAGACAGCCATGCAGCAGGCCTCTCCCTGTATTGCTCTGCCTCTGAGGCCCATCAGTCTCCAGGGCCTTCTTCCTCCACTAACCTCGTGAGCGTGCCACTGCACTCCAGCCTGGGTGACGGAGTGAGACTCCAACTCAAAAAAAAAAAAAGTTTCCTCCCCTCCCCACTCCCCTCAGCTCTTGCCTTCCCTTCTGCCCCTCCACAAACCTCCAAGATGAAAAATCTTGAAAACCCAGCCCAGGCAGTGGGACGAAAGGAAGCCAAAACCAAACCTGGTTTCTACCAGAAGCTAAGGGAAAGCTTCTGCCTCCCCTGCCTCCTCCCTGGGTCAGGCAGCCTGGAGGGGAGGGATGGAGTCCCACCATCAGGGAAGGACGTGGGTCACCCTCAGGCCAGGGCCCCAGCCAAGGTCTCCTTGTGTTCCCAGATTCTTGGGTGCAAGGTGGCCTCATTAGTGCCTGGAGATTGCACTCGTGACTCCTATCCAGGGCCTGTCTGATGAGCTCCTGCTCTGCCCCAAGCCTGGAACCAGGCATGGGAGCAACTGTGCACAGGACCTGTGCTCCTGAGGCTAGGTAGGAGGCAGTACTGTGTAACAGTTCAGGGAAGGCAAGGACTATTGCAGACATCAGTAAAGCTGAGCCAATCGCGTCTGCCTGGGGTGGGTCTGGCAGGGGGTCCTCGAAGGCCTAGCATGGAAGATCTCCATCAGGCAGGGATGGGGAGGAGCATTGCACAGAAGGAACAACTTGAACAAAGGCCTGGGGGTGACAGTGCTTGCTTGGCCTGGGGGTGACAGTGGGATGAGAGGTGTGGGAGGGGAGAGAGGAGGACTGGACAAGCAAGAGCCAAGGTCAAAGGGTCTTGTAGGACAAGCTGATCAGTCTTAGTCCTATAGGTGATAGGGAGCCTCTGTGGGAGGATTTCTTTTTGTTTGAGATGGGATCTCACTATGTTGCCCAGACTGGTCTTGAACTCCTGGGCTCAAGGGCTCCTCCCACCTCAGCCTCCCCAGTACCTGGGACTACAGATGTGCTCCACCAGGCCTGGCTTTGTGGGAAGACTTTAACAGTGACGACATCAGGGGCCAATGTGGGGGACTGGGCAGATGGGGTTTGGGGCCTGGATGTGGGTACATGGAACGATTCCGAGGCAACTATTCTGACACTGCCCTGAGTCGGGAGGAGTCTCACAGCTTTGTGGACTCAGTTTCCCCATTCGTCTGGACCCTTGACCCAGATGGTCTGTGAGGTTGCTGTCTGCTGTGATATGTTGTAACGTGAAGCACGAGGGGGGACCAAAAAACCTGAAATTTATTTATTTCAGCATGTGTGCTGCTGAAGTGAGCACAAAACCAGAATTTATTTATTAAAAATTGTCTATTTACTCTTACATGTTTAAACTTCAGTCACCTTCAAAGTACTCTCCATGCGGTGCAACACATCTATCGAGATGCTTTCTTGAACTCATCAGTTTTGATGCCTTTTAGTGCTTCTGGCCTTTTTTGTTTCACTTCTTCCACATGAGCAAAAATGTTTCCCTCTGAGAGGGAACATCAGGTGAATAGGGAGGGTGGGGCGGGGGGGGTCATGTTGTGTTTGGTCAGAAACTGCTGAACACTTAGCACGGTACTCGGATGCCAATGGGTTCCTAGAACACTGACCTGGCAGGGATGCCTGTAGGACAAGGGGCCCATCCGCCAAAGGATAATTCGTTGTCTGGGGTCCCTCTCGTATAGTTCCCCTTCCTCCACCATGGAAGTGATTTGTGGGTGCTGGGCCAGGAAAGGGACCAGCGCTTAGGCTGGGTGGGGGAGGTTGGGGAGCAGCCCCTCCACCATGAGGTTGCACTTGGGATGGCGGGGGGAGCCAGGAGGGGGTGACTCTGCAAGTACTGGGTAGACCTGGGATGTAGTAGGAGTCCCTGAGGGCTTCTGTGTGCACACACTCAGGGCCTGACTCAGCCTGGACCAGAGAGTGGTCCATGGGGAAACGGCTGGCCAGGGATACCACTACCAAGTCTCCCCAAAGCATACCCCGAGGCAAGAGTCTGGGTGTGAGAGGTTTATTGGGGAGCAGATCTCAGTAAGTGCAGTGCAGGGAGGAGGTGAAAACGCTTCGGAATTGTCCCCCTCAAGGACAAGACTGGGGTTTTCATTTGCCAACTCCTGCTCCTTACTGACCAGGGGCGGCCCCAGGGGCATTTGAAACCCCCCGCACTCCCAGCCCCCACCGTGTGCTGGCCAAGCACACAGCTGTGGCCAGAGCACACCCTCGGGTGTGGGAACTCTCTGGCAGCGTGCTCTAGGGCGGCTACAAGGGATGTGGGCAGGGCACTGCAGCATCTGCTGAAGCCCCGGGGCCCCAGTCTCAGAACTGAGGAGGCCAAGGCCTCTTGATGGCCAAGTGGCTCTCCTGGGCAAATATCAGGCGACAGAGTGAGAGACCTGGGCCCAGGAGTCCCACCCAGAGAGGCCCCAGTGGCTGGAGCGAGGTGGCCCTGAGGGAGCAGGGCGTGGGCTGGCCTCGGCTCAGGACACCACCCACCTCTGTAGGAGCTGGGCCAGGTGCCCGTGCCGGAACACCCGGGGCATCTCGGGAGGGAATGGGGATGAGGGGCAGGTGGCGAGAGCTGCCCGGAGCGCCTTGAAGGCCCCCTGCCCCACCAGGTGGACTCGAGCAGGGCCCACGCTGCCTCGGATCCGCAGGGACTTGTAGCGGGGAGAGGCTTCCTGGAGCCAGAGGTCCAGCTGGGGACAGAGCGGCCGGGGTGAGGCTGGGGTGCCCAAGAGGTGTGCCTGGCCTATGCATATGTAGGGGTTTTGTGTCCAAGTGTGTGTCCACAGGACGCAGCCTTCCCTTCCAGGGCCCCAGGAAGTGTTTCCTCCCTGCCCCTTTCTTCCCCTCACCCCTGCCTCCATGGCACGTACCCTGGGGTGTCAGGGTGAAGGGGACACACCCTCACACCCTGGCCCCATCTTTTACCTTGTCTCGATTTTCCTCTGACAGATTCCTCAGTCCCCTGAGCTCCACAAACACCTCATAGTGGGGAGCAGAGCCTTTGAAGGAATCTGTGAACAGACCCCATGTGCGCACATGCCCCCAGCTTCCAGAGCCACCACCCTGTGTCCCCATCTGTCCTTCCCCACCCTGAGCTTCATGGGGACAAAAAGTTTCTTGGCGTGGAGTAGGTAAGTGGAGAGGAACCCAGAGCCTTATCCTAAATAGGAGACAGATCAGGCAAGTGAAAGGGTAAATGCTGCAGCAGGACAGATGAGGGTTAGACACGGGGAAGGACTTGTTAGGAGCAGCAAAGTAAATCAAGGCTCATCGCTCTCCTAGAGGTCTCCCAGCAGGGAAGGTATGGACCAAGCTGAGAATGGGAGGCAGGGCCAGTGGGGAGGCTTACCCAGAATGCTGCTCTCCACACACCCGTGGTCTAACAGCTTGGCCCCCGGCCACTGCCCCACTGCCCGGCCCAGGGCCTCAGAGAACAGATCCTCACCAATATCTTCTCCTCGCACACTCAGGGCCTGGCCCAGCCTGGGAGGGAGATGAGGGAGGTGGTATAGCCCAGGGCACAAGGGCGGCCCCTGGGCTCCCCAGGGTCACCTACCTGCGGGTAAACCTGACGATCGGACACTGATTGTGGATGCCAACCACTCGTACCACATCCCCCAGGCGGCACCTGATGGGATGGGAGGGGCGTGAGGTCGGCCAGGGGTCCACGAACCCATGTCCCGGCCCCCAGCAGGTCCCCAAGGGCCTGAGGCAGCAGGGGCTGGGCAGGTGATCACCTGGTGAGGCCACCGCGGTCAGTCAGCACCAGCTCATACTCCTTGCCCTGCTGGGCCTCGGCCAGAAGGAGGGTAGAGGCAGCCTCCACTGGGGCTCCTTCCGTGACTGGGAGCAGCTCGATAAAGGGGGCTCCGGGGGGCAGAAGGTAGAGCCCTCGGGGCTGCTCTGGCCACAGGTTGAGGCCCACCACCCCTGTGGGGAGCAGAGCAGCCCCTCAGCCTCTGCTGGTGCCGCCACTCTCCGCCAGGCAAGGCCCCCACCCCAGGCCCCAGCCTCTGGGCATGTGCTCCTTCCTATTGTGGCCCTTCCACCCACCCATCCCTCCTGGCTCCCCTGGCTCAGCCTCTCAGTCCCTCGTGGGGAGGAGGCCGAGTGCAGAGGTTCTGAAGGCCCTGGGGGTGGCTCTTGGCACCGTGTGAATTCGTACAAGCCTCCATTTCTTCATCTGTACAGGGAAGCTGCTGATCCCCAGCTTATGGGTGTTGGGGAGGCTTAAGTGTGATAAGCGTGTGGGGCTCGCTATGTGACCTCTGACCCCTGCCCCCCACGGCCCTTGAGTCCTGCTGACCTCCAGAGGCGGCATAAGCAGGAGAGAAGAAGGCTAGCCCTTGGCACCACAAGGCCGCAAGGGCAGCTGCAGCCTCGGCCTGGCCTCCCGCATCCAGAGTCACCACCACCTGCAGCTTCGGCCAGAGCCGAAGGGCCAGTCCTCGGGGTCCCTGCCCCAGAGCCTCCAGTAGCTCAGCTGCCCGTCCGGGGAGTGGTGCGCCTGGGCCCCCAGCAGCTATCGCCCCTGCCACCTCGTGCCCGGTGACCTCCAGGCCCAAGAAGATGTCCAGGAGTTCGACCGCCGTCCCGGCCTCCAGGACCTTCAGCCCAGGGGACCTCAGGGCCTCCAGCAGCAGGGACCCAGGGTCCTTGGCTCCAGGGGTGGTACCCCAGCCCAGGGCATCCCCAGGCCAGGGCAGGGGGCTGGGCCACGGGGATGTGAGGGTCACACAGGCAGTGCTTCCTGGAGCCAGCGCTCCTGGGTGGGCCTTGTTTAGGGCCACCAGACCCAGCAAGGTGGCCTGGAGGAAGGAAAGAGAGGGTGTCAGTTTGGCTCCAGAGCCAGACCCCGAGCTCTCCGTTTGGGGGGCCTTTGTCCACGGTGATGAGAGGGCTTAGATGCAGGTAGGGGGTCTCTGGTGGGGCTGGGCTCAGGTGGCCCCAGGTACCTGCAGAGCAGCCTCCCCGCGGTGCTGGCGTGAGGTGGGGGGCAGGAGCTGCCCTCTGCTCTCTTCCTCCGGGGTCTGGCTGGCCTTGGTCAGAGGCAGATGGTTCCGGAAGGTGCTCACATCTATAGCCACAAAGACGCCAGAAACGCTCTAGAAAGCCTCAGTTTCCCAAAAGTTTCAGGAAAGACCTGAGACCCCTGAGGGAGGAACCCGGAATAGGCCTGGGGGAAAGTGCCTCTTGAACAAGAGAGCCAGTGCCAGGCCTGGGGAAGCCTCTGGGTGGGACCACACTGGGTTGGCAGAGAAGGGGAAAGGGGCGAGGGGGTGGGAGAAAGGGGAGAAGGGGAGGGGGAGAGGAGGAAGGAGAAAGGGGACCTTCGGTTTCTGGAATCTGACGCCTGTGGGGTTTCCTTCCCTTTGGGTCACCTCCCAGATGTGGAACACACCTGTGACCCCTCTGAGGGCGCAGCGGGTGCCCCGGGCCCTCTTCAGACACCACCGCAGGGCCTGCTGCTGGCTCTGGCCCACATGCCGAGTGCACTGCTCCAGTCTCTGCTGCTGCCAGGCGGCTGCCCAGCCCAGGACCCCCCATGCCACTCGATGCTGGAGGCCTCCAAGCCAGGACAGCTCAGCGTCCGGGGGCCGCCGCAGCCCGAGCAAGGTCAATGGCAGCAGCAGCAGCAGCAGCAGCAGCAGGAGTGGCCACAGCAGCATCTCCAGGCAGCTCCTGGGAGGAGAGAGGATCCCGGGATGGGCATGGGGGCTGCTCTCTCCTTCCCCACGCGCTGCTGCACACAGCCAAAAGGCAGGATCCTGCCGGCAGGAGATGCAGAGAGAGGCCACCAAGGCCTTGGAGTCCCCTGGCCTGAGTTCAGACCCGGCCTCTGCAAACCCCGCCTCTGCCCCGTGTTAGCTGGGGGGCCCTAACTCCGTGGGTCTTGCTGGGCTCCATTCACACGTCCGCAACATGCGGATAAGGATACCCCCTCGGGAGGTTCTGAAGGGCCTGGCACAGAGCACCCGTCCACCGAGTGACATGTCCTGCCCACCCCGAGTGGCTTTGCTTTCTCCCAGGTTCCACCCTGGCCTGGCTCCGTGTTTCCCAGAGCCTGGGCAGTGGGTCCATGCCCATGTGCACCTGTCACTTCCGCCCCTCAGGTCTGGGGGTCTCAGCACATCCAGCCAGAAGGACAGCTACGACTTTAAAGGGCTGAGCCGCAACTGGGAAGTCTGGCCATGGCGGAGGAAGGTGGGAGGAGCTGGGGGGGTGCTCTTAAAGGGGCAGTCGCCGGGCTCGGTGGCTCAGCCTGTGAGCCTCGGCTTTGGGAGGCCGAGGTGAGTGGATTGCCTGAGCCCATGGGTTTGAGACCCTGCCTGGGGCAACTTGGTGAGACCTCATCTCTACAATAAATCAAAAAATTAGCCGGGCATGGTAGCGCACGCCTGTAATTCCGGCTACTTGGAAGGCTGAGGCTCAAGGATCGCCGGAGCCCAGCAGGTGGAGGCTGCAGTGGCCGGGAGCACTCCAAGTCTGGGTGACAGAGTGAGACTCCAACTCAAAAAACAAAAAATAAAAAAGAAAGGGGCAGGTTGCCCAAGGGACGCCGAGATGAGTGCTGCCCTGGCTGGGGAGTTAGGGCCAGAGTGGCACAGTCCTCAGACTCCTCAGGTGAGGAAGAGAACGCTGAGGGTGGAAGAGAGCACCATGAAGTAGCTGGAGCTGCAGGCGGGGCACCCTGGTCTCCCAACCCAGAAATTCTTTCCACAAAGGTAATACAGAAAGAAAACCGTTTTATTGTTATCATTTTATTTTTTTAGAGACAGAGTCTTGCTCTGTCATCTAGGCTGCAATGGCACAATCGCAGCTCACTGCAGCCTCAAACTTCTAGGCGCAAGTGATCCTCCTGTCTCAGCCATCCCAGTAGCTGGGATCACAGGCGTGGGCCACCACACTCAGCTTGAAAGGCTCCTTTATGCCAGGTGGCTCACGCCTGTAATCCCAGCACCCTAGGAGGCTGAGGCGAGAGGATTGCCTGAACTCGGGTGTTCAAGACCAGCCTGGGCAACTTGGCAAGACCTTGTCTATACAATAATCAAAAAGTTAGCCGAGAGTGGTGGCTCATGCCTGTAGTTTCGGCTGCTTAGAAGGCTGAGGCGGAAGGATCGCCGGAGCCCAGCAGGCCGGGAGCGGCCACTGCACTCCAGTCTGGGTGACAGAGTGAGACTCCAACTCAAAAAAAAAAAAAAAAACAAAAAGAAAAAAAAGAAAAGAAAACGACAAACTTCGTCTACCCTCATGACAGGAGCTTGTTTTGCAACTTGGAGCAAGGCGCCTACAGAAATCAGGCCCCAACCCTCCTTCGGGAAGGTTCTAGAGCTGTGCTGTAGGAAGGAGTTCTCCTGCTGTCTTGTTAAGCCCTCCTCCGACCTGTGCTTCTGACCCAGGCCTGTAAAACACTAGAGACCTCCCTTCCTCTCCTTGCCCCCTGCAGGTTTTGTAGACCAGCTGTCTCCCGGCTGAACTTCTCTAAGCAGGCCTGCATTCACTCCTGCTGCCCCACCTCATTCTCACTGTCTGGCATTTGCTTTTTTTTTTTTTTTTTAAATTAACACCTTTATTCTGGTGGTAGCTCAAACCTGTAATCCCAGCACTTTGGAAGGCCGAGACAAGAGGATTGCTTGGACCCAGAGTTCAAGAACACCTAGGTAACAGAGTGAAACCTTGTCTCTACAAAAAAATTAAGTAAATTAGCCAGGCATGGTGGCACGCACCTGTAGTTCCAGCTTCTCAGGACGATGGGGCAGAAGGATCTCCGGAGTCCAGGAAGTCGAGGCTACAGTGAGCCATGATCGTGCCACTGCACTCCAGCCTGGGTGATAGAGTGAAACTCCAGCCAAAAAAGAAAAGAAAAAGCTTGGTTCAATTAAATTTACACACCGTATAAATCACTCATTTCATGTGCAATCCAACATCTTCTAGTATATAAACCTTTTCTTTAAAAAAAAAATTTTTTTTTTGTTTTAAGTTGGAGTCTCACTCTGTCACCCAGGCTGGAATGCAGTGGCACACTCACAGCCACTGCAGCTTCGAACTATTGAACTCCGGCAATCCTTCCATCTCAGCCTTCCAAGTAGCTGGAACTACAGGCATGCACCACCATGCCCGGTTAAGTTTTTGATTTATTGTAGAGATGAAGTTTCGCCAAGCTGCCCAGGCTGTTCTCAAGCCCGTGGGCTCAGGCAACCCTCTCACCTCGGCCTCCCAAAGTGCTGGGATTATAGGCACGAACCACCATGCCCGGCCTATATAAAGCTTTTCTTTCTTTTTTTTCTTTTTTTGCAATCTTTTTGAGTCAGTCTCACTCTGTTGCCCAGGCTGGAGTGCAAGGGCACCCTCACGACCACCGCAGCTTCAACATGCTGTGCTCAGATGACCTTTCCGCCTCAGCCTTCCGAGTAGCTGGAGCTACAGGCATGTGCCACCATGCCCAGCTAATCTTTTTGATTTATTGTAGAGATGAGGTCTCGCCAAGTTGCCCCCTACATAAAGCTTTTCTAAGTAGTACTGTGCATCAGCACTTCATTCCTTTTTGTTGTTGAATACCCCGTCGTATAGCTAGGTTGCGTTTTGTTTATCCTTTCCTCAGCTGATGGACACTCGGGTTGCTTCCGCTCTTTGGCTATTAAGTGTAATGCTGCTATGAACATCTGTGTACAAATTTTTCTGTAGATGCAGCATTTCATTTTTCTCGTGTGAATACCTAGGGGTGGACTGGCTGAGTCATATAGTAACTCGTTTAAACCATTCCAAGAGCTGCTAGACTGGTTTCCAAAGTGAGTGTATCATTTCATACCCCACCAGCAGTATGTGAGGGTTCTGATTTCTCGACATCCTTATCAACACGTGTTATTATCTGACCATTTTTCTTTTTTGAGTCAGAGTCTCACTTTGTTGTCCAGCCTGGGGCGCAGTGGCATGATCACGGTTATCACAGCCTTGACCTTCTGCCTCAGCCTTCCAAGTAACTGGATCTACAGGTGTACACCACCATGCCCAGCTAATTTTTAAATTTATTATAGAGACCAGATCTTGCCAAATTGCCCAGGCTGGTCTTGAACCCCTGGACTCAGGCAATGCTCTCGCCTTCACTTCCCAAAGTGCTGGGATTATAGACTTGAGCCACCGTGCCCAGCCTATCTTTGATTTTAAATAAAGACTTCAATATAGCCATTACAAATATGTTAAAAAAACTAAAGAAAGCCAAGATTTAAGAAGTAAAGGAAGGTATGATGACAATGTCACATCAAATAGAGTATATCAGTAAAGAGATAGAAATTACTTAAAAAAATCAAATGAGGCTGGGTGTGGTGATTCATGCCTGTAATCCTGGCACTTTGGGATTTTTGTCTCTACAAAAATCAAAAATTAGCCGGGCATGGTGATGCATGCCTGTGGTCTCAGCAATTCGGGAGGATGAGGTCGAAGGATTGCCTGAGTCCAGCAGATCGTTGGTGGGGTAGCCATGAGCGTGCCACTGCACTCTAGCCTTGGTGGCAGAGTGAGACTCCGATTCGAAAGAAAGGAAATTGGAATTGGAGGCCAGTTGCAGTGGCTCATGCCTGTAATCCTAGCACTTCGGAAGGCCAAGGTGAGAGGTTCGACTGAGCCCAGAGGCTTGAGACCAAACTGGCATCTTGGTGAGAACTTGTCTCTACAATAAATCAAAACAATTAGTCAGGCATGGTGGCATGTGTCTGGGTGACAGAGTAAGACTCCGACTCAAAAAATATATATATATATTTATACATTTTATTTCTCAATATGAGCTCCATCAAGGTCAAGACACTTTTGTAAGTGATGATACCAGCCATTTTGTTGGTCCCTAAAGAACTGAGGGTCCTAAGAATTTAGCCGTGTCAGTGCAGTCTTTTTTACATTATTGACTGAAGAAAGACGGGTGCCCTTTGAAGATTTTTTTGGGCCAAGCTCAATGGCTCACACCTATAATCCCAGCACTTTGGGAGGCCAAGGTGAGAGGTTTGCCTGAGCTCATGGGTCCAAGACCAGCCTGGGCTGCTTGGGAAGACCTCTTCATCTCCTACTTCAGGAGCTTGATCCCACTTGTTTAAAATTTTAATTGAGGCCGGGTGACGGCTCAGGCCTGTAATCCCAACATTTTGGGAGGCTGAGGTGAGAGGATTGCCTGAGCTCAGGAGTTTTATTTAGACCAGCCTGGGCAAACTGGCGAGACCTCGTCTCTACAATAAATCAAAAAGTCAGCCGGGCGTAGTAGCGTAAGCCTGTAGTTCCAGCTACTTGGAAGGTTGAGGCGGAAGGATTGCCTGAGCCCAGCAGGTTGAGGCTGTGGTGGCCATGAACAGCGTGCCACTGCACTCCAGCCTGGGTGACAGAGTAAGACTCCTACTCCAAATAAAGTCCTCTTCAATTAGGGCACAGAAAAGATGATTTTTTTTTCTTGCAAGTTGATGTGGCTGGTTTGCCTCTGCAGACTTCTTCGACATGGTCTCCTCCCTTCGTAAAATGAGTTATTTATTTGTAAACTGCTGATTTCTTTGGAGCGTCATCCCCATAAACTTTTCACCAGGGATTATGGCATTCTTCCACCCATCCTTCACCATAAATTTGATGATTCTTCTTGCTTTAATTTTAGCAGAATTCCTGTTGCTGTCATAGGGACTCTTTTCTATTTTTTGTTTGCTTGTTT